TCTGCCTCGCCAGGGAAGAGCGCAATGATGGTGCCAACTTGGGCCAGTGAAGCAACATCCTCCACAACTAGATTGAAGAACAAAAACGACAGCAACTTGTCTGTTCCCCTTCCCCTAATTCCCCAGTACTGTTCCCATCCCCCCAATTACCCAATAAAAATCTTTAAAAAAAGCTAACCGAGCACTTCTTGCTGCAATATGGATCCATATTTTCACAGCTCTCTAGTGGGGAACTCTTGACTCTTGCTCTCCACGTAATTGAGGAACATTGTTTCATCCTCTAGTGTGCTTTGTTCCTGGGCTCTACCTAGTTCTAAAGCGTTTCTTTCTAAATGCTATCCTCCAAGCCCATGTATGTTCCTGTCATCTAGGCACTCATCAGGTTCTTAAAAGTCTTTGTAAAAAGTATAATCCAAAACAAAACAGTGTATTCCTAGAGGAAGACAATATAGATCATCTGAAGTTCTACGCAGGACTGAGTATACAATACGTGACCATGCCCAGCATTATGATAGTTTTCAGACAGAACAGTGCCAGGACTCGTCAGGTCTCCGAGAGCTGAGCACCAGAGAGCCTTCCTTCTAGTCTTTAAACTCCACACATTTCCTCTTCTCCAGGGACAATTATTAGTGTATTATTTAATTGCTCAGAGTCTTAAAGTAAAAAGATGAAAATAGGAAAGAACAGCCGACACTAGATATTTCTAGGTACAATGTTGGATGACTTGTAAGTCCTCACTCGAGCCCTCCAGAGTCAGACAGTGGTGCTGTGGTTGGGATCCAGGTTCCTCTGACAAGATAATAAATAACCAGGGTCCCTTGGGTGGGCTACAAGATGGACTCTGAATCCTACCTTTCACTCTGTAGCATTTTAATAAATTTCCAGTGTTTTTACTTCAAAAGTTACCAGTCCAGTCGTAGAAATACTAAAAGTCAATCAGAATGTTAGGTGGATAATGTAGGAGAGAATGGAGAAACATTCTTGAGTTCAAAGCTGCCTCTTCTGTCTCCTGACTACCTGGACCAGGTACTCAATTGAGTTCAGTTCCCTCAAGTATAAACAGAGGGCAACAGTATTCAGTTTCCAGGTTTACTGGAGGAGTTGAGAAACATAGTGTTTATGCGCCAGGCATATAAAGATATTGTTATAGTTTACCTAATTACTTACCCTAAAATCCTAATCTAATAATGCTCACAAGTGACTGCTAATTTGTTGATGAAAACTGAGTGTTAAGTGCTTCTTAGCTACAAAATAATGGATGGCAATTTTTCCATCAGTTGTGAATCTTGTGTATTAGAAGAGACACCTGGGAAAAGAAAGCTTGAAAACACTGATTAGGTCAGCACAGCCAGGGCATGGTTACCTGTTATAAGGCGTGGAGAAGGTTGCCAGGACAACATCACGGCCATTAATACGAATCACGTCTGTAACCGCCTGGAGGATGTTGAAATAAAAATGAGAGTCCCCGGGAACTGAGCAGTTCAGGCGAGCCTTAAGGAAAGATGTCCACTGTTTCTCCAGGACTCTTTGAGACCCTCCCATATCATTCTTACAGACCTGAGCCACTCTTGGGAAAACTACCTGCAGAGGACAAACACACAGGGAAAATGAAATGCACTCAACTTTTCAAGATCTGAGAATTTGCCTCTCTTTGAAAATAGAAACAGAAAAACAAGTTGCTTAATTTAATCCCATGTTTCTAAAATCAGTAGCAAAAAGAAGAAGGAAAAACAGCATGTTTTAAAAGATAAGGCTGTGGCATTTAATTCAGAGCCATAAATCCTTCAGGGGATCAGCTCCCAGCCACATAAACTCATTTCCATACAGACTGCTTAGCTTTTTTATTTGCTCAAACAAAAGCACACTTTGTATGCACCCTCTCTGCCATCCTTACTCACTCGCAGCCTCTCAGCCCTGAATCCCAAACTCAGACTTCCTCTAACTGTGCAAGCTGCCATGGCATTAATCTGGGCCCTGCATTTTATTGACCTTGATCTACTCTCGTAAAAATAACTGAAATGGACATCCCCTAAATGTTCTTTAGCTTTGTTCAATAAAGATAAAATTCATGACCTTCAGTTTGCTTAAAGATACTGGACATTTACTCTCTGTGTGGAGCAACTCAGTTAAAAGAGAAAACTGTTGAGTATACCTGGAAACCACATCTCATGATACTTGAAACTCAGTATGACATCAACCAAATATCTGTTGATTACATGTCAAAAGAAACAAGAGGTTCCCTGTAATCCATTACACAGGCTTTGAGGCAGCACAGTGTTTCACTTCTACCAGTTTTTGCCTGGATCTTCTCAAAATGATGACTGTGTCATTAGAGTTATGGTTCCTATTTCAAGGTCATTCATAACAACATTGATCCAAAAGTGAGGCATCCTCCCCTCTCACCTTGCCCATGGTGTTGTACTCCACGGCTATTTCCCTGAAGAAGAAGTAGATATAGTCTCCGTAGTCCACTGCTTGAACAAAGTATGGTTCTGTGGACAAATTGGGAACTTTAATTGGGGACATGTCACAGAGTTAAAAGAACTTTAATCAGTTGCACCCAAAGGTGTTATTAATTAAAAGTGTAGGGCCATTTAGACAGTTGGTTAACACTAATACTTTCTGATAACTTCACACATGCAAGTGCTAGTGATTTCAGAAAGCATTTGAGTGTGTGTGTGTGTGTGTGTGTGTGTGTGTGTGTGTGTGTGTGTGTGTGTATTGGGTTGTTGGAAAAGTCATGAAACGTTTTTGCAACTAAAAACAAGAAATATATCATGACTTTTCCAACAACCCCATATATATATAGGAAGTGATTGCAACCAACAATGAAGACTAAAATGAGTATTGCATATCTCTGTAATTTTATTTTTCACAATGGAATGCCCATGTTACAGAACGGATTTTGTACACATCTTCCTGTCAACCCTGACTCATACAGGGTAAGGAATAGCTTTTCTCCTGTCCCCACCACCTCCAATCCACTGCTCCCTTCTGTGAATGAAATGTTCAGCTCTTTTCATGTAGGACTCGAATGAGCATTTGAAGAAGGGAAAGATGAATGTAATGTATACCATTGTACTGGCATTGGTAGTTTTGTTAATACTCCAGAAACTCATGGGAAGTGAAAAAGGGAAGTAAATAAATCAGTTGAGGGAAAAGATGCAATTTCCACCTTCCTGTCTGTCAGAAGCCATTTCTAAAATGAAACTACAGTCTGGTCCCTTGGGACTCTAAATCTCTCTCAATACATGTATCTCCCCCAACTTCCCCTCTTTTCTTCTTTTAATTGTTTGTTCACCTTTCAACCATTTTGAATCGTGCTTGACGGTCCGTAGGGTTGGGCTGTCTCCAAGACTCCGGTAAATCACTGCATCGATGGCAAGGAAGTCAGTCACTGTGGCCGAGTATAGTTTTCCATCTTCCAAGAAAAAGAAAAGACGTGGATGGGGTGGGAGCAAGACAGTGGGCATGGGGGAGTAATAGAGACATCCCCCAGATTGTTTTCCTCCATCAGGCAAATGAGATAGGACATCTGGGGAAAATTCAAGAGTTGCTGGGAAAATATTTAGCCCACGTTCCTAACCATTTTAAATTGGGATCATGAGAGATGCAACATTTTTAATTTTTAAATTGCATGGCAATTTCTAAGGAGCAGCAGCTCAGGGAACAGGGTAAATGAAAAATGTTGTTGGCTTCAGTTGATTAGATGGTCCTTGATTGAAATGTCAAGGCCAAGGCCCCTTGGACCCTGCTACTACCACCACGCCACTGGAAACTGGATTAGCTGGGAACCCAGGGAAACATAGAAGCTGAATGCATCACAAGATTTCAGTTCAAGCAAGAAGTAATGGAGTATTCAGACCAAACAGGTGAGGGGAGGTGAAGAAGGGAGATTCATAAACAAGTAGGAGCCCACTAAACTGCTCCTTATATCCTGAGAGTCACCGCTCCTCTTCACCTATGTCATGAAAGCCACTAAATCCTGCCAGCTATAATAAATAAGAGATATTTACTTCAGTATTTTCAAAGCCACAGACTGAAAACATTGTGACAAGATGCCAAAGCAATGAAAAAAGAGGGTAGGGGTGACAGTTCAAACTGGCTTTCTTTATGCATTCACGCTTTTGGGGAGACATGCTTAAGAATACATCCCAAGGAAAAGAGACTGAGGTAGACTAAAGATTGATCCCTAAAACTTTTGGTTCTTTTCCTGGATTAGCAAATGTTCTGCACACAAATAATCAAATGGGATATTCTAGAATAGCAAAATCTATATAGATGAAACAAGCAATAATTACGTTGAAACTAAAAAATTCCTTGATTCATTTTTAATGGATTACATATCTTCATTAATTGTATGTCACAGTGGCTTATGTACAGTACAGTATTCTTTAAGCTCTTCCATTTGTAGGAAAGCACAATGGTTTTTATAAAAGCTTATCCAAATCTACCTAAGCAAAATTCTTGATGTCTTCCTTTGGCCTTAAAATAACTGAAATTTGCTCAGGTTCAATTTAGAGCTGTCTTAAAGCTGCATTATTAACAAACAGCCACATATAAGTGTTGACTGGGTTAGATTTGAACTACAGACAGCAAACCTTTTTATTGATAAACACATATCTATAAAAATCATAACTTTTACTATAGATTCATAGCCCTAGGTCATACAGATATATCTGGGGAGTGGGGATACAGTGGCAAGGTGGTGTGCGTGTGTGCGTGTGCATGTGCGTGTGTGTGTGTGTGTGTGTGTGTGTGTTTACTCCTCCTGATCACTCTCCAGTACTCTGTGTTTCATATCCAACACTGGAATTCTCACCAGAACTTTTACTTGGTAAAGCAGAGCAGCACTGTTCTGGCATTCTTGATAATGAGAGAACCATTCTGTTGCAGCAAGGATCTTTTGTTAGTAAGGGCTGAGCTTGCCTGAGGTTTCAAACAGTCCAACCCTTATTCATATGCCTGTTGAGGAAGGGGAGGGAAGTCCCAGTGTTGTCTCATGTGGCTTACTTTCTCCCCTTGCTACCACCTCATGGTATAACAAATCCTCTTTTCAGTTTATGGTTAAATTTACATTCTCCACTGCAGCCCACATCCTCCATGGTACCAACTAATGCAGGTTAAAGTGTCCGAAAAGTGCTGCAGTGGAAGTTAGAGAGAATATATCCAAACGTCTCTTTCTTTTGAGCTTGTTCCTGCCCAGGCAGACATAGGTTTGCACGACTTTGTGTTTCTTACAATGCTGCTTTCCAGTAATACTCTGCTCTAACTTTCGGGGTTGGGGGACCCGGGGAACCTTTTCTTTATAACTTGGCACAAGCTGTTTCTACGTTCTGTGACTGCAGAGTCAGGACCACAAATGGATGACACTGAGGGTGAGGTTCAATTGAGGAGCTAATCTTGTTTCATAATCAAAGCTCTAAAGTTTCTTATCTAGCTAGGATGTGCAGTTTTTAGCTTTTGTGATGGAAATTATAGCTAACTGCTTTATTACATGCTATAACCATCCCTATTATACCAACACTTTTCCATGTATCCATGTACACAGCTGGCAATGAATTCCTAAACAAATTCCTAATTAAAACTCTCTCTCTCTCTCTCTCTCTCTCCCTCTCCCTCTCTCCCTCGTTCCCTCTCTCTCTCGCTCCCTCTCTCTCTCTCTCTCTCGCTCCCTCTCTCGTCCATCCACAGAAATCCCAATCTGCAAATGCTGGCTTATTTGCTGCTGCTTTTCATCCTTTGCAATGGAAGGAATGGGTGAGGATGGGGAATACGGGTCATCCTAAGCTAACCAGCATCATCCCCTCAGCCACTATCACCTTTCCATCAGAGAGGCATGAAACCCAGTGAGGTCAATGATATTTGAGAAGGTGTCCACTGGAAATGTGGGGATATGTGGCCTCACTGCTCTGAGAACTTTCAGAAACTTCCTTTTGTCACTTTTCTTTCCCCTTCTATATGTGGACAAGAAGATACGTAGCCTTAATTGGAGCTGGGCACCCTATGGCTATGAGAGCACCAGACTCTCAGAAGGAAATGAGAAAGCAGAGAAATAAAAAGGGCGTATGTCCTGGATGATATTATTGATCTGCTGACTCAAACCAACTCCTACCTTAAATAATCAATCTCCATCAGTGGTTTGAGGTGGGATTTTCTATTATTTAAGCCCAACAGGCCTTAACTAATATGTCACATATCCAGTGCAAAGCTGTTAGCCTTTTCTGAAGGCACAAAAGCATGGGTAAGTGTGGCAAAGACTTCTTTTAAGAAGCAAAAGTACAATTTCCATACCAATTTCAAATGGAAAAGGCATCTTAATTACAGTATTCAGCAGAGGAACAAAGTACAACTGACTGTGAATCCTCCAGAGCAGGTTTGCAGCGACAGGTGGGACACGGGAAAGCAAATGCAATAAGAGGAGATCAGGTCATTTACCTGCAAACAGTGCAATATTGGCATGTTTGGCATCATAAGGGCATCTGGCCATTCCACTGAATTCATCCCCCAAAGGTTCCAAAGTATCCATCTAAATGAAATGATAGGACTTAATTAGGAACAGACAATAGCAAGAGCAACTAATATTTATAAACCACTTAATGTGCTAAGTAATTCACATGCATGGTACAAATAATCCTCACATAGCTCTGAGATAAGTCTGTTGGTTTCAAATTAGGAAACTGCGGTTAAGAGAGATTAAATCACTTGACCGAGGTTGTGTAGCTTAGAGTGTCTGCCATTTAGTCATGTCTGCTTGACTCTTAACAATTATAATAAATAGATTCCCATATCCTTCTGAAATGCTCTGGAAATAAGTGTCTCCTTGAAAAAGGAATTTCTGAGGCAATCACCAGGAAAACTTACTGCCCACTCTTCACTCCCCTTAAGTTATCTACTGAGTCATGAACTCTACAAAGAATGACCGCAGTTTTTGGTTTTGTGATGTCTGAGGAGTCCTGCGCCTTTTGGGGTAAATCCCAGGAGAAGAGACTGAATTCTTTCTTGGGTTACCTGGTAAAATATTAGATTATCAGAAAAGTCATGACGCATTTTTGCAACGTAAAAATATAGAAAAATATGTCATGACTTTTCCGACAACCCTAATGTGGCATCAGCAAAGGTGCAATAACATGGATGCAGGCAGAGCTCAGGTGGCCATTTGCACCTACTTCAGAAATGTCCCAACCTCAGATCATATAGACGAGAAAGAGAGGCTCAGAACCCGAGGGGCTCACACAGGTCAAAGGCAGTGAGGAGTGGGGCTGCCATATGACTTCTGTCTCCTAGTGCCAAACCCAGGCCTTGGTCCTGTGTGCTAGAGGTTATTACCGGCTTGCCAGTGAGTTTTGTTTGGCCATCTTAGTATGTTTAAAAAAGAGAAGGAGAGAGGAAGGGAGGGAAGGCAGGGAGGAAGGAAGGAAACGAAATTTAGCTGTATTTTAAAATGGAGATTGCATGCAAAAACCTGAATTTCTTCTTCTGAACAACTGGGAGAGTCAGTTCAGGCCCTTCTTACCCAAGAGGCAGCAACAAGCTATGGTTGAGTAATGGAGACCCCTGCCATTTTCTTTAAGCAAACGTGATCTCTAGCACCAAGGCCCCTTTACCCACAGAATATATCAGCATCTTGCCTGCTTTGCTCCTACTTACCTGTCTGGCCCCATAGGCATTTGCTGGTGTGGCAAAGCCTTGTTACAGCTGTTCACTGAATTCCATTTCTCTTTCCTCCATATCACACTAAATCACATTTACCATCCTCCCTTGCCGTTAGGTGTCATCGACGTGACTGAGCTCTGGCCAATGGAATATGAGTGTAAGGCTATGCACCACCTCTAGGTCTTGTCCCTGAAAACCTTCCAGGGTCCTCTACTCTTGTTCTCTTTGCACATTCTGCCCCTAGACAGAGGGTCCAGAGAGAATTCCAGGGCCCTAGGAGATGGCAGAGGTATGAGCATGCCTGAGCTTGGCCTTCTGAGTAACCTCATAGGCCAGAACCTCTGTCACTGACCGACACTCGGCTGCGATGTGAGCAGGAAGTGAACCTCTGTTGGTCAGCATGGACAGTCAGTGGTCTCAGCCTCTACCTCGCGGTCGTCTTCCTTATACCAGAGGAGCTTCTGAACATTTAAATCTCAGAACAGTGAAGTCCACAAAATGATCTCCTCCACATCCTTAATGTTTTCATACCCCTCTGTGATTTGTCTTTCTCGTTTTAGGGTATTTTATCATCTGGCAGTTGGACGGTTTGCCTACACAGATAAAAACTGAGGGAAGATAAAGCTAAGATAGCACTGCTGCCGAGGAAAGGTCCACGGAAAGGCCTTTAGCACTAAATCAAAGTGCCTTAAATCAAGGTGCTTGGAGCCATTGCCCAGGAGAAAGAGTGAGGCTCTTACTGAGCAGCCAGCGGTGTGGTCCAGTCAGTCGTGCCTTTTGCCCTAAGTCTCCAGAAACCATTTCGGGAATGTGACAGGCCTTTTCTATCTGAAACCATTTCGAGATAGCGCCTATTGAAGCTATCCTATTTGTTTAAACTGCACTTGAGAGTCCCATAAAGCAGTTTTGTTAAAAAAATGTATTTTGGGGAAAAAGATGTTCAAGTCAGATATCCTTTAAAGCAAATGTGCTCTTCCCTCTAGCACATCTTCATGAAAGTCTTTTTCTGATATTTTATTCCAACAATACCTTCCTGTTGAACTATAACAGGCTTAGCGGTCTTTGGCCCTGGCAAGTATTCAGAAGTGGTGCTTAGTAAACAATGATGTAACAAAAATGCCCTTATCCCTAGCAGTGCGCTCTGTCATGCTGGCAATGGGGAAACAATATACCGGGGAGGGGGGGGGATTTTTTTTTTAAGTGTACCTACTTCTAAAAGCGTGGCCGTAGCTATAGCTAGTCAAAGGCTGGAAGCCCTGAAGAATTACTATATTGGTTTGTGAGATTTGAAAGGTCCGGAGACAAAACAGTGCCATGGTGAAATCCTCTTTCCATAAAATAACTAATCCTTGCATTAGTCATCAAGTCTGAGACTTGGCAGCAGCCCCTGGGAAATTAAATCACTGTAGGACACAGATAATTATACTGAGAACCAGCCTGACTTTTTTTTTTTTCTGCAAAAGTTCAAGAGGTGTAGTGAACAGGAGCAAAGAGGTATGGAGTGTAAATAGTGTTAGATTTATAGTGGGTAGCCTTCCCAGCTCTTTCCCAGATAATCGTATTTGGGGCCATAGTCTTTCTAATACATTCAGCCTACTTTTGTTATAAAAACTATATAAATAAGGGCACGGAGCAGAGGCAGAGACCCAAAATTTGTCAAGACAGTCTAATCCGCTTGATGCTTCCACACTATGGGACCTGGGATTTCGGTGGAAGCCTGGTAATCGTTTCTGCTCTGAACCGTTGCTCTCGGTCTATGGCTAAAATGAGCTTAAGAAAGAGGCTGCCCATTCTCCCTGCCGCCAAATGCATTTTGTCCTGTGTCAGCAGCATCCTGCTGTGACATGTGTCTAAAAGAACACTTCTGAGCAACGCCTAGGGTTCTGACGCCCGTTCACTGTGCTGGGCATATAGATGGGCACTGATTACACGGGAAGAGCATCTTGTCTGTGATCTCTGAGAAGATCAGACAGACCCCTGGAACATGTCTCAGCAGGTGAGGCTGGAACAAGCGAGAGGTGACGATATCACCAGAGGTGAGGCATCCCGAGGAATGGTATGTGTGTGCGAAGAATCAGCTAGGTCATTTGTGGCCTGTGTATATCACAGTGCCAAGAAAACCTGCAATTTGTCATAAAAGATAGCTTTCCAGCTAGGGGATTCGTTAGCATTTGTTAGAGGCATTAATCTTAGTTGAGTCCTAAACAGTGACACACAAGAATGGAATATTAAGTGGTAGAATTAAAGTGATAACTTGAGCTGTACGCCGTTACTGTCGAGAGTAAATGCTTGCCTGGACTGGTTGCCTCTATTAACCTGAGTGGATCCTGTCATTATTTAAATTCGATATTTATGAGTATTTTTGCATTAACTTAGGCTTTTAAACATATTGCATTAAAATATCACTTACCTTAATGCATTTTTTTGGGTGCCTTTGCATTTTGCACCTGAGGCAAGCGCCTCCCTTGCCTCGCCCTGGTCCTGGCCCTGCGGGTGCCCTTTCCTAGCATAAGGCGGAAGAGGAGCGTGAGGGTCAAATCGACCCTTCCTTGGGTGTCTATGCTAAGGCAGAGGGTCTTCTAAAGCTGTCAAAGCAAAGCACGATGAGCCCCATGGTTCTGATGTCTTCTCTTTTCTCATTCTCCACACCCCCGGGTTTCAGCTTTATGTTGGTGAAACCCAAATCTTTAGCTCTCCCCACAGGTCTCTCCCTAAATAAAGGCTTACCCATCCATCTTCCTGTTAGAGATCTCTGTTCACATCCCATAGGCATTGCCATCCACAGTGCTAAGCATACTCACACGTGCGAAACTGAACCCCCGTCTTTTCACTGCCCAGCTCAACCCCACTGCTCTTCCTTTATTTTTATTTCTTGTCTAAACTGGTGGCAGCCTCATCCATCCACTTACCCAGGAGACAGCCTAGCAGTCATTCTAAACTCCTCTCTCTCCTTATCTTGCACTTCTTATCAATTATTAAGTCCTACTGGTTTTTATCACTTAAGTATTTCTTAAATCTATTCTCTTCCCTCTATTCCTGGGGCCACCTACCTCTCCAGCCTCTTTTTTATTATGACTTGTTACTTCACCATTCAGCAGTTACTAAATGAAGTTTTTCAAGCTCAGTAGACTGTTTCTTCCTCCCTGCCATTGTTCATGCTGTTCCCCTGCCCGGGCTGCCCCTCTCTTCACTTGGCTAACTTCTGCATCTTTAAGACAAAGGATAGGCATTATCTCACTCACTGTTTATCCCACAAAAATGACCTGAGCACCTGTTTGGAGGCACTGTGTCCGGCTCCGGACAATCAGATTTGGGCCCTGTACTCACATGGCGTATAGGTTCCTTCTGGGCCGGGGATGCTTGTGTTCCACATGCAGAGGGGACTGTGTGAAGAGAGGGGTCATCTACCTCTTTCGGGAAGCTCTCCCTGACTCTGCTCCTCAGGCTGAGTACTTTGTGTTCTGCCATGATGCTCTGTGTTAACGTTGCCATGGTAGCAAAACCCCAGGAGGCATCCCTAAGGATGAATTCCTCCTGTCTGTCTGTACTACCTCAGTGCCTGGCCATGGGAGAAACTCGGTATGTGTTTGCTGGATGAAAGACTGTGGTAAAAAGGACAAGGAGAGCTAGCTGGCAGGCGTGGGGCCGAGACCCTAGATCATTGCCACCTCTGCTTTTGTAGCTGGTAGCTCCCACTTCTCCGGCAGCACCTCTATCAGCTGCATCAGAGCTAACTAGATTTATTGACACTATGAGAGTTAATTTTTTCTTTTTTCCTTGCATGAAGGCCAAGGTAAGTAAGGCCATGATTAGGTAAGCCGAGTGCTAAATGGAATTCAATTCCTGTGTTCTTGAAAAATCTTACCTAGAGGAAAGTCTACAGTTTCCACTGGCCTGATTTTGAGATACCTTTTAAAATAATCACTCACAATATAAGTGGTGTTTTTGTGCTCAGAGAGGAGATGGTGGAGTGTGAGGGAGAAAGAGAAAGGGAAAGAAAGGAAATCCACATGGTATATGTGGTAAGTACGTTGGTGATCTGAACAATAAAGAATAGGTTCTTATAGAAACTAACTTTGCTAGCTAGGCTCTTTAAAGACGTGTCGATCGATCCTGCACCAACAGGACGCTTAGACGCCTGGTCAGGATCACTCACGTGGAGCAGTACATTAAGTGCAACAAGTGAGAGGAGCCCAGGTGGCATTGAATTACCCCTCTTAGGTTGCTGCAGGAACAGCCACAGTAAATTATGAAATACCTCCGGGATGTGTGGTTCCAACAGACAAAATCACACTTACCTTATAGTTTCTGCAGGAAGGGTTGAAGGCATTAGTTCCACAGACAAACAAAGTATCGTTGTTTTTCTTTAGAAGAACTTTAATAAAGTTGTGACACTCATCCTGAAAAATAATTGAAACATTTTTGCATCCAGTCCATTCAACACAGAAACCCATTCTTCACCATATACCGTGATCTGCTGACAGTCGGGTTAACACAAAGGCAGCTGAGGAGCTCCTCTGTTAAAAGTTAGAGCTCCTCCCGATGCTTGCCAAAAGATGACACTGACAACAACAGTTGCCTTTCCAACGGTAAATAAAAACATGAGCATAGAATGGAAGACTGTGTGTTTATGTCACAAAAGGAAAGCAAACCTGGAAGTGGCACCCTTCCTTCATATTAATTTTAACGTCAGATGCTCCAGGGTCCCTTGAAATACAAGGCTCCTGGCTGAAGTGTGTGTTTATGTTGTTCTGTGACCAAAGGCACAGACCCCTGTAAAGCTGCAGCAGCCTTTCCTCGGCTCCTCTGCAGAGCCCCTGAGGGCTTTGGACATGAGCTGGGCTATTGGAGGCTACACTCAGAAGAGTCGGGGCAGCCAGCTCTGTGCCCACAATCCCCAGTGCCCCTCAGTAGTTCATGATGCAGCCCTAGCTGCTGTCTTAATGTTTCATCACATTAAAAGCAAACTATTTTTGCAAATTAAAGCCTTCAATAAGTTGATGGAAAAAGCAATTACTGGGAAAAAGGGACTAGCATGACCCATTCCACATCACGGTCTACGGCCGGAGATAACAGTCAAAACCTTAACCCAAAGTGGCAGCTGCAAGAGAAATGAAAATTGCCTACCTTATGTTTTCCCTTCATTCTGCATGTGTCTACATCAGCCTGTCTAGATTTCCATGTCAGTTTCTGGAGGGTTGAAGAAAGAAATCAATTAGATCCCAGTAGTGGTTGCATTTGATTTTAGAATTGTGAGTTCCCTCGGGGAGACTAGAGGCTGAACATATATTTATTGAAAGCTTTCCACACCCTTTCTCCATGATTAATTCACCTCAACAACAAAAGATTAGGGTAGAAACGTTCATTTAATTTTGAACTCCCGTGCATTCAGTAACCTACAAAATGATCCTCTTTTCTGTGAGATAAAGATGAAGGAGAAAGGAAAGAAGAATAAACAAGTGTGGAAATTCCACATCTGCTTAAGGCACCCAAATTAACTTGCTAAATTATGCTCATTTTGATAAAATACATGTGCTGTTCTTTTCCTTTCAGTTGATAAATCAATTTTCATTAAGTAGGCTTTTTCCTTAAAATATGGAAGTCATTTTCTTAAAAATAAAGGAGTCATTCACTTTAGCAGACAAAGATTTAATTCAGGTTATACGCCTTCACGTAAATTCATGGACTAAAGGGATCTATGGCAGTTTTTATTCATTGAAATACATCCATGTGGAGTTACAAGGGGAGCCTAGGTTGTATTTTATGTCTTTTTGATCAAATTCCTGAACCACAATAGTCAGATCAAACTTAGTGCTGCAAGACATGGACACATAATACTGAAACATTTGTGGCACAAAATGTTACATATGAAAACTGATCTTTTCCTGGACAAACATGGCAATCTCCTATTGAAAGAATTTGGGAATTACCTAAACCTCCAAAGTGTATATGCTCACATATTTGATGAATAAAGTATCATGTACACAACTGTTTTCTGAACATGTGTTAAGCCCTAATTTATACCCCCAAATTAAGATTTCACAAAATGTTCCAAATTATTACCAGCCTTGTCATCTCAATCAATGCATTTAAAATAATAGATACTCTTCAAGAACTATCCTAAGGTCCTTCATTTCAGAAAGATGGTATTAAAACTACTTACTTTGCTACAGTAAATTTCTTCTGTGTGTGATGTGTCTATATCCACAGTATAAATATGGTCCCTGTAAAGAGAAAGAAAAATTAATCCAGTGTCAAACACAGGAGTCAAGACAGCTCATTTTCTCCTGAATGAGTGAAGATATATATATAACTATCATACAAGGCATATAAATCCATATCCATGTTTCTGAAAAACAAAACATACACCTTCAAGACAAAGGGAAGCTCACTATGCGGGGCGTGCCTCGGGGTCAAATTTGCCCCTTCTGATGGTGGCATCTTGCTGCCTGCGTGGGACACCTTTTATAAAAACTTCCCTGTGTCTCCCTCATACTAGGATGATAACATCTGTACACTGTAGTTCAGGAGAGGACTATGGAAATTAAATTGGCCCAAGCACTGGGACACAGATGGGCTCACATCCCCTTTCAGGATCATCAAATCCATGGACCAGACATTTGGTGTTCAACATGCCACATCAGTTCATCCAGGCAGGGGTCTAACAAAAAGCTACTTTTCATCTCCATCTCTCTTTGGAAAATGTGTTTTCAGCTTTGGCTTTGATGATTTGATTGACAAGATGGAAGATAATAAAGGTAAAATTATTTCCAGAAGTCACTCTCTTCTTCACACAGTGATGGTCAATAAAGATCTAAAATGTACATGGGCTAAAGTTTACATTTCTTGCTTCTGTTCACCTTCCTGTTTTGCTGAGAATTTGGTTGTCTTTACGACTTGCTGCCAATCTCCTCTTGGAAGGGGAGAAACGGAATCAGCAGCTCAGGTGTGGGGCTATATTTAAACATCCCCTTCTGTTTGAGCTGAGTACAAGGACGTTTTTGTCTGAAATTCAGAAGAAAGAAAAGCACTACACTCAACTGGGGAGGTGGGGGGCTAGTGAGGGAAAGCAAAACAGCTCATTTTCCCTTGAAATAACATTGACTTTTTCTAAAATGCAGGAAGTCCTGGGGCTGGAAAATTACCCACAGCTTTAAAACAGGACCTCAAGGCTCCCATGCTGACTTTCAAGCCCCCTCATTACTTAAAAGAAGTGGGGAGGGGAGGAAAGAAAGGAAAAGGGAAAGAAAGAACTTATCTGCTGTCAGGATTTACTTCAGTTTTTTCCCCCAGTTCTTTAGAACTCTATTTGCCACTGCTTTCAGGGAAGGTACAACAGAGAAAAATAAAAACAGGCTCTCTCATGTGAAAATAAGAGAGGGCAAAGCAGTTAGCTTACAAAATTCCCTTCGCCTGCTACAGAAGTGTGTGTGTGTGTGGGGGGGTGTCGGGGGTGGGGTGAATAAGGGGGAGGATGAGGAGCCTATTTTGTAAATTGCTGAATTGGGAAGTTCTGCAAACTTCAGTAGGGTGCCAGAATTGCCCTGCTCTTTAATTTCAAGGCAGTTTTATTGCATTCCTTTCTTACTTATTTGACTCCGTTGGCGGTACTGTGGGTCAGGCTTATTATTGGAATGGAATTGCCTATTACTTTTGTATCAGGTTTGAGAGGACTCCAGGCTTTCCTTGCCCTGCCTCCCTCAGAACTTTAAGTAGGAGCTGAATATATGAATTGTAATTAAGAACCGATTAATATGCATTGGCAATTCCTCAGAAAGCTCTCTGCTCTCCCATTGCCCCCTTCTGGCATGGCTGGCTGGTTTATGTTAATTAACAGTTTAGAGATTAAAGTAAAAAAAGAGAATTTACAAAATGGAAAATAATAAAGCAGCATTGAAAGGGGTTCTTGACTTGAAACCTTACTCAGTCCCTGGGTTCTGGATGGGAGCTGGCGTCCCATTGCTGACCCCAATTGGCTAGAAGAACTGGGAAGCCTTTTAAAAATACAACCTGTGAATGAAATCTTCTTTTGGACAATGACGATCTTTTTCAGTATCCAAGAGAGCACACTGCACTGCCCAGCAAACAGAAGCAGTGCTTTATGCTAAACTGTGGACCAGGGTCGGAAGTTATTTCCAACTACCAGTGTGTGCATCCCAGGACGCATATGCTGCTCTGACTGAATTAAGTTATTTGAACACTAGCTGACTTAATCCTAGGACTTCCTCTTTGCCCCTCCAGTACGCGCACCACTGAATTGTGTTGCCATGGTTTGAACCTGGGGGAAGGATTTAACTTCTTGTAACCTGCTGCCTAGGAACCTGGATCTCTCAGGGCAGAGTTGGGAAACGTGAAATGAAAGGGAGAGGAGAAATCCTAAATATGGCAGCCACAGAACTCCTTCAGGAATCCTTCCAGGGGTGTGTACTGAAGGGAAGTGGCTGGGTAGAGTGAAAAGCAACATGGCAATGCTAGGGTATTACACACTTTACCTCTAAAAAAAGCAAGTCTGTTTTATAGTTTTCCTTCTCCTCTTTTGGTGATGAGGGGTTAGGATAAAACTGTGTTGTGGTTTTAACAAGCTGGACTAATGGTCACTTTTAAGTTTGTATAGCACCTTGCTCGTAACTCAGGTGCCACCCTCGACCTGCAGGCCACACCCATGCAAAGTCTACATCAGGTATGAGGGCTCCTGTTGTACCATTTTTCCCCTCTAGAGACTCAACTCCAAAGTGAACAATTCATAGAAGATTCTTGAGTCAACCTATTCTCACAGATCCAGTGTTTAATCATTTGTTTTGACCAGCTTTTAGATAATTGGGTACAAATATAATCTTCCAACGCTGCTACATTTAGAAAGCTAAAAATGATATTTAAGAAGTAGCTCATATTCTGCCAGAGGTGGCTGCTGAGAACCTCATTAGAATGCATTTTAGTGAATATGCACACTGACTCTGTTCTTGGCAACAGCTATTCGGAGGTTATTCCTCGGGCAAATAGTACCACCTCCCCTGCTCAGTAGGTTGCTTAGTACAGGGAGTAATGACCCAGACTCTAAAGCAAAGACCTTCCTGGTTCAGGGCCTGCCTCTGTCATTTTGACCCTGTCATTTCACCTCTTTGTACTTTGGTTTCCTCCCTTAAAACATGGGCATGATAATATCTCCTCACAGGTTTTTTTTCCCACCCCCAGTATTGAATGAATTAATATTTATGAAGAATTTACAATTATATTTGCAATTTATATGGCACATACAATTAGTATGTATTATATAAGTTTTTGTGAAGTAAATTCTTAAACAGTGCTTTGGCACTGCTCCCTGTGACCAAATGTGGGGGTAATTGCAGGATATTTTCATCCAGACTTTTTTAGATTTTTATTTTTTTATGCTGCACAGCTTGTCATTTCAGAACATCTAAGTGCTTTAAAGAAATCAAGTGCTGTGGTTATTTACCTGGTCTTTGCCTGTGCTCACAGCCAGACAGGTACCACAAACACAATCTTTCCTTCTTTCCAGTGTGAAATGATCAGCATAGACTCAGTAAGACCACAGCAGAACCTCACAAGCTAGTGCTCCTTGTCCCTGTTCATTTAGCATTATTTTGAATGAGATACACACCCCAAACTGGGATCCTATAGTCTTAGAATTCCAAGAGACTTCATTAGAATAATCTAATCCAACCTTTCATTTGACAGAGGACACTGTGGCCAGAGAAGTTGTGGTCCAAGTAAATTAACAGTAGAGTTAAAAGCAGAAATCCATGTAACCCGTGGTTAGGCAGTAATTCTTACCATGCATTCAGCCTTAAGACATGGTTGGCTTAAGTGACATTTCCCCAGTGGATAAGTATTTTCTTACTAGATCCAAATCAAAAACTGTTTGGGTGCTACTGCCATCTGCTAAAGTAATGATATGTACTATATATTCACTGCAAAACTACAAACAGGTTTAATATACATACACCTACACACACGCACTATATAATACATGTTTACACATTCAACTTGATTTAACAAGCAGGTATTAAGGAGAGAAGCACTGTGCTGGGTGTTTGAGTAAATATTTGCGTGTATGTTCAAGATAAACAGGATTATTTGAATCTAAGCTCCGAAATACACAATTATTTCTATCTAAATCACATAAAGGTAAGCAGACACAGAAAATCTTGAAAGAATGATTGCTTGACAAACTAAAGTAGCCTTTAAATTAAATAACGTTGTGTTTGGGAATGTCATGATTTTTAAAATGATGCACATAGCAGGTACATTTGGGTCTTGGGACCTTCGGACGCTCGGAAGGCAGAGGTGAGAACCAGGCCACTCACCTAGCAGCAATGTAGAGGGTTCTGTTCATGATCATAATCATCTGGATGTCCAGCCTGTGCCTCTGTGTGGTGTTCCGTGCTGGCTTGTGGCCCACAAACACCGGATACTGTTTTGTATCTGTGAAAAGAGGAGATGGGGCAAGAGAGGGAAAAGGAAATCAAGCCAAGTGTGTGTGTGTGTGGGGGGGGGGGGGGACAGCCACAAAACAAAACCATATTTAAGTCAGACCAGCCACAATTTTCCATCTCCAACTAGTCTGTTATTTTAGGAAAAACTGTGACAGAAGAGTACTCTTTAAGGATGATCAAGTTACAGTTTCATTTCCAGATGAAAATAAGCCTGGACTTGTATTTCTAAGTGTCACAATTTCTGACTTGTCCCTGTTTCTGGGGCTTAAGCTTGCAAGTGAACCCTTTCCATGAAGGTGCTCCTTTCTTTCAGTTTTCTTTTCATCTTTTTTAGAGTGCTAAGCCTGAGGGGCAGTCTGCCAAAGATCTTGTCTCGGGACACAACTATTTCAAAGCAGCCTTCCCATCAATCACCACAAAGGCAATGTGGTCTGGAGGCGAGAGCCCTCGCCCAGGAGCCAGAAGAAAAATACAGTCTCCACAGGCGTCCAGTTGGAATAATCCACCATTGAAGGCAGCCCAGCTAGATTGGTTGGCATTCTAGGAACTGTGGGAAGGTCACTCTGGAGTTAAGCAATTGGCGAAATCTCACAGAAATGAGCGCTTTGACAGGGCAGGGTCAAACTGAGTGTAGTGAGTCGAGTGATCTGGAATTTTCCCTGACATGGAGAGTCCGTGGGCATAGTTCTCCTTTCTTACAGTTCTCTTTGGTTGATAGTGGGCAATTTGTAATAATATCTGACCTTTAGAAATACCTACATCTCAAAAATCTCTCTGCCTTTAAACTAACAATCCAGAGCACTGGCATTCCTCCAGAGAAACTGAGGAGGAAAGAAAGCTGAGTCACATTTAAAAGGCAGTTGTTTTCCAGGGGGGGCGAAGAGGGGGCGGGGATAAATAATGACTCGGAAACCATTCACAGATTTATGCTCAGACCCCTCCCTTGAAACCCCTGTAGTACCTGAGCGTAACTCACATGGGTATTTATTAGCATCAGAATGTTTTATTCACAATCATGCTTGGTATGGGACTCTTGTGCTTCCTCCTCCAGTGCTCTGAAATTTCATTGAACCATTCATCAAGGAGCTTGCTAAAACAATTCATGACTCTCGCCTATCAAGGATCTGAGTGCTCACTGAAGTATGCTTTTCCGCAGCACATTTGGGCTGGGGTGTCTTTTGTACAGGACCACCAAAGAAAGAGTACCTATCTCAAATGAAGATAAATGCTTATTGAGGCTTGGTACCTTGAATTAGGTGGACTCTGTCATTTCACGAGTGATGCTCTACATCATTTGGCCTTAATCATGCCCTGACTAATAATTGTGTTATGTACCAGTCTTGCCACCTCACCTTCATATGAAACTATCTACTTTTCCAACCCAGACTATCCAAGAGAAAGCTTGGCAGTAATGGATCTCATTAGTATCACATACTGATGTTAAACACCTCTTGTATGGTTCATTCAGTGTTTGTTTTGAGATAATTACTGGGAAAATCGGTATCTGAGGAGAATGTGCTCTTTCACTGTAAATGTGATAAAATATTTTGTCTTTTGGAGGGAAGGGAAAAAAATGCAGTAAATTGGCTGTTTCATCTTACACACAGGTAAAACTTTCCTCTTTTGGGGAGTCAACTGAATTCTTAATCATGTTGCTTTCTACCACTGATAACGAAGCAGAGACCAAAGGAAAGTTATATAAATGGTGGAAAACAGTTACATAAACGGTGGAAATAGGTCCACTGAATTCAAATCCACTCTACCCAAGTCTAGCAATAATATAACTTCTAAGTGTAAAAAAAGTTAACTCCAAAGCAGTCCTATCATTTTCTGTTCTTGTAACAATGCCTATGCGTTGCGTTAATTACATATGAAAATGTGCCATACTGGCAATGCCCAAGTGATAAGTGATATTTTCCCACCGCTAGTTTCAGGCATGTTCAGCAGCCTCCATATAAGAATTGAGACTTCATCGAAAGCGTTGAGGAATGTTTCAAACCCTCACACGTATATCTCCCACAACAGCATTTAATGGAATGATAGAACAGGCATCCCGCAGATTTGACTAGACTTGAATTAACTTTGCCACCTACACAAGTTATAGTGACTAACAAGTCTCCTATTTATTAAACTTTTTATGTTTTACTGGTTGATGCGGGCTACAGTGTCCTCACAGGGAGAGAGTGGGAGTGAGACTGTGGGTACTTACAGTTGCCATGCGAAATACTGATTGGCTCAGAATCTTCTGGGAAACCAGCCCCAGCAAAGTGTAGCAGTGTGAGATATAGCAGCAAGGCTTCTGACCTCATAGTAGTTCAGCGGGGAGACTTTATTTCTCTACTTCACCCTGCCAAGGAACAAAGAAGGAATTTGTTTGTGTTTTTTGCAAGTCAGCTTTATTCAACTCCATAAAGTAAAATGGCCTTGAAGATAAATTTATGAGCAAAGAGGCCTCTGCCTCATATTTTTTCCATTGTGAATTCATTGATTATTGTGTTTTACATAAGGAACCTGTATCCATTACCCACTGCACCCTCTTTCCCAGGCATCTGAGCCCTTCTGCAAAGCTTCTCACAGACATGTGCTACGGAGACTTATCTCCTTTGTCCTGAGCCATTACAGGTGGCTGTCTCACAGTTAGGAAACTGCATTCTAAAAACTGTGGACAACTGAAGAAGCATTTTTTAAAGGTAAATATTTTTCTTCTTAGCAGGTTTCCAGCAGCATGTCATCCCCACAGACATGTTTTATTTGGCCAGCCCAAGATCTTTAAAAAATTTATAGTTGCCAGTATTGAAAAATTAGATTTCTGATCTTCTTTTATAAAAATCAGAATAGCCTTCCTATTGACCAAAATGATAGTACCTTCTCAGGCACCACAGCCCTACCCCAAAACACACACCCCCTCTATAACTTACTCCATTCACTTACTTCCCCATTACCTTCCTGACCCCTTGGTTGAGATTTTCACCCCTGGTCTATGGAATTCTATAGTAATTCAACGATGACCTCAGACATAAGTAAAAACACACAATCTATGTTTAAAACAAAATAAATTGAGCCTTTTAGACTCTGAAGACTACTATAAGGAGAATTTAAAACCACATCCTGAAGTGGTATTGTTGATTAAAAAAAATCATATCTCTGTATATTTTATTTTTTATTTATTTATTTTTTTTTAAAGATTTTTATTGGGGAATTGGGGGGATGAGAACAGTGCTGGGGAATTGGGGAAAGGGGAACAGACAAGTTGCTGTCGTTTTGTTCTTCAATCTAGTTGTGGAGGATGTTGCTTCACTGGCCCAAGTTGGCACCATCATTGCGCTCTTCCCGGGCGAGGGAGATCAGTCGCCGGCTTCTGGACGGCCGCTCACTGCGGCTGCTGGCCGCTCACGCTGGCTGCTGGCCACACACGGTAGCCCATGGCAATCCACTGCCACAGGGACTGCAGCCCACGCCGTCGCCGGCGACTCATAGGCAGCCCAGCTCCAGGTTGAGCTGTTGTTCAGCATCTTAGCTGTGGAGGGCAGTGTCACTGGCCCTCATATGTGGGATCCGAACCGGGGCCCTCTGGCATCCCAAGCGAGTTCTTAACCATCGCGCCACTCGGCCGGCCCCTCTGTATATTTTATATTTTCATACACTACCTTGCCATGAAATAGTAGTAAATAAAAACACCAGATATACTGTTCTACCCATATGTATTTTCTTTTTTTAAAGATTTTATTGGGGAATTGGGGGAGGGGAACAGCATTGGGGAATTGGGGAAGGAGAACAGACAAGTTGTTGTCCTTTTGTTCTTCAGTCTAGTTGTGGAGGACGTCGCTTCACTAGCTCATGTTGGTGTTATTATCATCGAGCTCTTCCTGGATGAGGCAGTCGCTCACTGGCCATTGGACGGCCACTTATGGTGGCTTATGACAGCTCATGCCCACTGCCGGCCAGCCCCACTGCAACCTACGCTGTAGCCGGTGACTCATGGCAGCCCAGCTCCAGGTCAAGCTGCTGTTCACCATCTTAGCTGTAGAGGGCGCAGCGTCACTGGCCCCATGTGGGATCTGAACCGGGGCCCTGCTGCTCAGAGCTGGTGTCCCAAGCCAACTCTTAACCAACGCACCACTCGGCTGACCCCCATCTGTATTTTCTTAAAGATGCTCTTTATGTGTAGAAAACTTGTAAATCTTTTAAGTGAAAACCATCCCATGTGGAGCTGCTGGATACAGTGAAAGAAGGTTCATGGTACAGTAAACATCATATAGTTCTCAGGCATTTTTCAAATAAGTGTTGATCTATTGGGGAAATTAATGTAAAATGGGGAAATCTTTTCATCTCTCCTGAGTGGTAAAGCCAGCCTTAGAAGTAGCCTTGTCAAAGATGATCTCCTTTGAACAAAGCTATTTTATAGTAGTCCATCAATCATTTAAGATTTGTGTGTAGAAAAGTCAAACTTAGTAACTTAAATGTCTTTAAAAGTTAATTTGGCAAGCAAATTGCCAACTTCTGCTTTTTAGAACACCACTTAATATAAGATACCTACGTCTCACTTCTTCATGTCAAAAAAAAGCATTAACAAGTCCCAAGGGTTGCATCACAACTTACAATTTTACAGACACAGCTGGGTCTTAATCATTCCTTCAGTTGAAAAGTGTACATTAATTAATTTGCTTTGTCTTGAAAATCAAAGAGGGAGAGGATGAGAAAAAAAGCCTAAGCAATTCCATACCTCCAGCTCTGATGTGTAGATTAAAGTTAAACTTTAAATGATTACTTGTCAAAAGGTTGATCCATTACCAAGAATCATAAACATGTATTTATAGATAGGTTAACAGCAAGTCCATTCATTCATTCATTCATTCACTCACTCACTCGCTTATTCACCAGTTCTTCCTAACCTGGAGAATTGGGTTCCAAAGGGAAGAAGTTCTGACGTGCCCTAACTTGCTTCTCATGGCTCCTGTTCAGCATAAGATTAAAGAGGTGAAATCAATAATAAGAGTTAAGTAAAACATAAACCAGACACCAGTCAGCTGTTATATTGTAGATGAGAAAGTATATGGGGAAGAGGAAGAGGCAATATTTACCAAGGGCTCAAGAGCGATATCACAGTATTATACAGAAGCATATGACCTCAGACTCTGCAGCATGTAATGGAAGAATAACGGAAACTCAGAGGGATGATTCTCATTCCTTTAGAAATCTTTGGGAATATATGAATACTTTTTAAAGATTAATTTTTCTTGACATGACAAATGAGTCTCAGCCTTCCACACTAGCATTCATCTTTGTATAAATGTCCTACAAGCTAACGAGACAAAGTCCTGCTATTTCATTACGTCTTCCAGTTTCATTTTTTTCTATATTAAGATTGCATGAGTTAGATACAACATTCTCAACCCCAGAGGCTTGCAGGAAGAGGAAGGCATGCAGAATAAATCTGTTATATAATTCAATGGCTTTTTAAAATCCTTACACATACATAGTCAGGATCATGGCTGAGATGGGTTATTTAAATATCTCCAGGTTTACAGTGGGGCTCTGTGCCAGGAAAAATAGTTGTTTCATGTGTCTTTCTATCATCATATCATCAGGCTGTTAACGTGTCCATCGTAGGGGAGAAAGTGCCCTGGAAGTATCGGTTAATCTTGGCCAGTCCACATGAACACTTGACACTTTTCTTTAGCTGAAGTTTTGATGTATTATTCCCTTCCTACATAACTTTGGGCTCTAACCCTTGTAAATATGTAGACAGTATACATTCTTGTTGAAACGATTACTTTGTGGAGAGATCCCAATTCACTCACATTGTCATTTCCCATCCTGCAGAACATGGGTTGGGTCTCCCTGCTAAGACCACAGCAACAGAGACTTGCACTAGCCAGAACAAAAATAAAAACTTTAAACTGTTTCAAAATCTTGAGCTAGCTGGGCTGCTGCAATGAAAGAGGCTGTTTAAGTAATCTTTGAAGTTTGAAAAGTGCTACCCACATGTAGCATATTTATAGGATCTGCAGACATTTGTTGATTTCCTCTCTGTGACTGTGCTTATATAGTCCAAATATGACTTAGGCTAAAGCAGCTATCCAGAAAATTAGATAATGGGAAGACTGTCAGTATGAGGGTTCTAGACAAAAGTAAGTAATCTACTTCAAAAGTAAGTGTATTGTGCCTGAATTCTCCATCTAATTGTCTCAACTTTCCATTCTTAGCTTGAAGAGAAATACCCTTTGTAAAATACACCATTACTATAAAGTTATAATCCTACTCTTCCCCAACCCATAAAATTCATGGAAAACTTTAAGAAAGTTCTTTGTTTTATAGGCATGTGTTGGTGAATTTATTAGATTTATTTAGGTTCATTTAAAATTAATTATACAACTTTATTCTGAGTCAAATGGGCAAGAATTATGTTGACTTTTTGCACACTCTGAGCCAAGACAAAAACTCTTTTGAGTGCAAATTTTCCCCTTCACTTTTTAAGACCAAACTGAATAACAGAGCTGTGATGCACAAATAGTGTGGTGAATGTTGGCTTCCATGAGAGAAATGAACTGTGCAGAATGCCAACTGCCCAGGACACTAGCCTGCAGGTATTCCACTGTGAGGGCCAAACAAAGGGGGCTACAAAGATGTCTGTTCAAAAATCCTGTGACTGCATTTGTGTTGATTGTTTTTAAAATGATCAAATATTTTTAATACCTGGAGCTTCCATTCACCCCTCCCCCATCATAAAGGATATCGTGTCAGGAAAGCATGAAGCAATGGGAATGTCACTAGAACTGACAGAGAATGAGGTCATAAATTGCCACGTGTGACATCTGATTAATCAGGTTAATTTCTCAGAGCCATTAGGATGGGGAGGCTGTGACAAGCCTACCACTCACTCTTACCCCAACACTAGTTCTAATCCTCTCCCCAGCTAGTCCCCCAAATCCTGCCCTGGAAAATCCTACTGGGGCTCACAAAACTGGTAGGACTTGGCCTAAGCTGGCTCACAGAGAAGAAAAAACTAAATTAGCAGACAACATTCAGGGAATAAAAATAGATTTAACATACAACTCCAGATTTCTGGCTTCTTAAATAAGGAAAAGACAGAGATCTGGCTTTGCGGGCCAACATTCCACATGGCCAGCCCGCTGGAGGTGAGCAGTGGCTGCCCGGAGCAGAGGGGCTGCCCGCTCCCGCTGGAAGCAGTCACACCACTTTCCATTGTTTTAGGAAGCCTTCCTCACCCACTAACCTTACTGCCCGACCCTGAAAGCTCTGAGGGCGACCTCCATGCTACTCAGGAAAAGCACATCAGCATTGCTGCATGAAGCAGTCTCCTCATCTTTACCATCATGTGCAGGT